GTGTGTGTGTACGTGTGTGTGTGTGTGTGAGAGAGAGAGTGTACGTGTGTGTGTGTGTGTGTGTGTGTGTGTGTGTGTGTGCGCGCGCGCGCGCGCCCGCGTGCACGTACTTACTATGCCGCAGAAAATTTCACTTTGTAGAGATTAATAAATTAGGGTTATCTTATCTTGTCTTATCTTATCTTATCTTATCTTATCTAATCTCACTTCACAACACCTCCTCTCACCTCCTCTCATCTCATCTCATCTCACCTCATCTTTACTACTATGCCGTCCTCTCCACAGCGAGCTCCTGGATTGACAGAGGGAGTACTAAGGGATCAATACAAAATTTGTTATCTTATCTTATCTCATCATAATTTCATCCTCTCCACAGCGAGCTCCTGGATGGACAGAGGGAGTATAAGAAACTGGTTCAAGAGGCGCTCCGTGACGGGCCCATGGACAGCAATGTCGTCGGACAGATTGGCATCAGGATGAAACAGCACATCAAGCAGAAATATTTGATGAGGAAAACGTTCTAGTTCTAGTGCGTTACTACTTATTGTGCGGTTTCTGCTACTTATTGTGCCAAGTAGTAGTTCAGCATTAATTAATTCTTAATGCGGTGTCCCTACCGTACAGCTTTCCAATTCCTTCTGTTGTGATGATTCGGACGAAATACAACTCTGATGACACATTTTGAACGCAACAAATCGATCGCTATCTTAGAATTACAAAGTTCTGTTAGACATTTTGAGTTACTCTAAGACCATGAGGTCAGAAACCAAATTATGTTCTCTCTGCTGTATAAAAATCGTTGGATTATTCGGAGCCGTTATCAAGATATTCAAAGAATTATTGCATTCGAAAAAATCTTGACCTGTTGAGAAACTTTTTAAAAAATTGACGCCTAATTTATTTCTCAAAACTAGGTACAGTACTAATAGCAGATAGAACTTTGTAATTCTAAGGAATCAAATTGTGAATGAAGTAAGGATCCTGGAAAGTGTTGTAAGGATCCTGGAAAGTGTTGTAAGGATCCTGGAAAGTGTTGTAAGGATCCTGGAAAGTGTTGTAAGGATCCTGGAAAGTGTTGTAAGGATCCTGGAAAGTGTTGTACATTGTCCCCACCCTCTCCACTACAATGTTATTTATTGTCAAGGAATTTGGTTGATCTTTTTCTTCCATCTTTTCTTTTCCGAAATTGTTTGCAGGCCATTGTCATTGGAGATGAATTTGTTCCTTTGTTTTTCATTGTCCTTCCGGAATGTGTTTGCTTATTTTTCATTTCCCACCAGGAATCTGTTTTCTTGTTGTTCAGTTTCCCCCCGGAATGTGTTTGCTTGTTTCTCATTTTCCCTCAGGAATTTGTTTGCTTGTTTCTCATTTTCCCTCAGGAATTTGTTTTACGTGTTTCTCATTTTCCCTCAGGAATTCGTTTGCATGTCATTGTCAGCGGCGAATCTGTTAGCACCTCATTACCGATAGACGTTTATTTTTTATTGGAAAGGAGGGGGGGGGGGGGGGCATGCAGTTATCAATTTGGGAGTTCTGTTTCATTCGTCATTGTCATTTGATTTAGGTAGATTTATTTGTTTGAGTGACATTACCATAGTCCGTTCATGGCGGCATTTATCCAGTCCAAGAAGTGAGACACGTCTGTAAAGCCACTTGGCATGGGCTGACCCTTTTCGTTACAGTCAGAGGACGCGTAGCTCGCCACACCTGTAGATCAATTCGAGTTGTTGTTTTCAGTCTTATAAACAATGTCATGCTCTTAACTGTGCCTGGACTACAACAGGGAACTGCTGCTTTTTCTTTCATAATCCTTACTATAGACAGTTCCCTCTACTTCTTTTGTATGTTTGTCACACTCTTGTGACCCGCTATTTCCGGGGTGCCTTGATAGTCGAAGCAGACTTTGTGCTGTTGAAGCTAGAGAGGTGAGCAGAGTAAGTCTGATTCCCTGTAAAGACTTCTCTGTTGACATCCACCCCATGGCGCTCATATGACCTTATGCAGTTGCGAGCGCCGTAAAACTTCAACTAAAACTAAAACAGTCTTATAAAGAGGCACATCAACACAACAGGGCTTAACTAAATGCAGGGAGTACAGAAGAAAAATGTTTCCACAAAATTTGTATTTGTCCATGAATGTTTTATACTTAAAGAAGCCGCTGCACCTGAAATACGTCCACCATTCGAATAAAGACACTGATGAATGATACTGATTCCATTTTTTGGGGTTAATTTGTACCATTGATACGTACTGCCATCGCATCTCATTCAATAGGTCCTGGGCTCGAAACCTAACAGCGACGGAACAATTACTTCTCTAAAAACATTCTCTTTTTGCCTTTCCTGCTCACTAATCATGTTCTGTCGTCTGTTTTCGTCTCCACTTTCTTCTCCCTTTCCCCTCCCCCTTTGTCTCTTCCTCTGGGTTCATGACTCTTTCTGCTGCCTTTCTGCTACTCCTGATATTAGGGTAGGTAAGATCTAACATATAGCCATCTGGGATAAGGGTTAAAAAGTGTCGGAGGTCCCGTGTGAAGGGTGCGCACGTCAAAGACCCCTTGGTGATCCTAAAATAGATGAAGGTACGCTTCAGCTACCATCTGGGCAAAATTCGAAATTAATTCCTACCAAACTGGAAAATGCTTAAGGTATCACGCGCGCTCATATGACCTTACGCAACTCGGGGGAGCTGTTATATGGTCTACAATATATTTGTGTTGCAAGTGTCGTAAAACTCTTACTCTTACTAAAAACTGGAAACAAAAAACAAAACAAAACCAAAACCCCAACTAGACTTGAGCTTATTCTGTTTAAGTATAATATTCTGTTTAAAAGGAAAATATGATAACTAATAAACAGCATTAATTTATATAGCGCAAAGTCCCGCTTAATAGCAAGCCGTATACCTGCAACTGGACGTATAAAGGGCGATCGGGACGGTCCTTCTTCCGCAGTGCAGACCATCATCATTGCCTTCCTCACCCTGCACCAGGGTATAGGCCACGGACAAACACCTTCCACCTTTCTCTACCCTGGGCTAGCCTCTTGATGTTATTTATCATCGTTATTCGGTTTGGGTGTTTTTAATTTTACTTTGATGATGATGATGATGATGATGATGATGATGAGGATGATGATGATGATGATGATGATGATGATGACTAATTTGTATCGCGCAAATTCCCGCTTACTAGCAAGCCGTGTACCTGCCAGGACGTATGGAGGGCTCTCGGGACCGTCCTTCCTCCGACAGTGCAGACCTCCCCCTGAGTCCCCAGTACAGATGGAGTCTGTGTCACCGCCCCCGGCGCAGAGCATGCTGGTTTGGAACAGGGAGTTGGCGCTGTACAGGAGCCAGCGGGCACACTTGTGGAAGCTCCTCACCTGAGGGGGGGGGGGA